CTTTAGAAGCAATTGAACTGTAACCTTGTCCACAACATTTCAACAAAACGTTGCGTTGTCACCATATGTTTGGCAGATACAATTCCCAACTTTTAAGGGTTCATTGTGTGCAAAGCCAATAGCTATTTGAATATTTATTCAAATTATTGGTTGGTGTGGAATTTTATTTTTTCTTTGCCTCTATCAGGTTAAGTGGGATTACTTTATAATAGGCAGATACATTTTTATTTATCAGTTTTTATTTACTCAGTTTTCCTGTGAAATATTCTGAAATATTATCTTTGAAAAGCTGCTTTGTATGCGGATGAATTGTAGTTTATTTGCAAATACTTTTCTTTTTAAATTTTACATCTTACCCATTGCTGGATATGACCTAGTCTCTCTATTTAACGCTGTAATAGTATTAAATTATTACCTAGTAGTTAGTGAAACTGACTCATTATTCTTTGAAGGTTTTATGGTGGGGGGTGGGGGTGAGGAGGAGGAGGAGGAGGAGGAGGAGGAGGAGGAGGAGGAGGAAAAAAACAATGACTCTATCATTCCAGGCTGATGTTATTCTTTTCAAAACCAGCAATATTTATATTCTCCTATTAAAGGAATATAAGTTCAGGATTTTGCCTGAAGCTAAAGGAAGAGGAATTAAAATGTGTTCTGTTTAAGGAATATTGTGAATAGTATAGAATTTCTGTAATAGTTTAAAGATGAAATAAATTGTTTTTGTTTTATTTATAATGACTACACAATATGAAAAATTAATGTAAAGTCACCTGTCTAAAAAGGTTTTCAATGATGGAATGATTTTTGGCAACATGGATCATCTTTGTTAATAACCTGCTATGTATGATGTGTCTCTGTGAAAACGGACACATTTGACCTGGAGAAAAATTATCTTTAGATAATACAAATCACCTTGTAAAATTGTTCCCAGCAATTACCACAGTAGCCGTGGTAATTCATTTCAATCATTTAAAAAAGAAAAATGGTTTTGAAGTAAAATTAGAAAAAAAAATAGTTTACAAATCAACTTTTTATCTAGATTGCTTTCCTGTGTTTTATCTTTCATAGTCATTTAAAGTTTCATAAAAAAATATATAG